ATATATATATATATATGTATATGTACATATATAATACAGATATAATATTGTTTGTATAAATTATATATAATGTTCGTATACACTCAGATTAAAATTTTCCTCTACAAGACACTGCAGTACCAGCAACAGCATTCCGTTACTCCAACAACGGAACTGGCAGGTCATTTCTTTATTATACGCTTTTGCGGTGTAACGCTATTGCAAAAACGCATACTGTCAAGAGGTAGTTCATGTGTGTGTGCTTAGAAGCGAGTGAACTTTGTCACCCACTTTCAACTCAGCAATCGGAAAAGCTGGGAGGCTGAAATTTTTAGGACATACTCCCACCTGTGTGTCACCCTCCCGTTTTAAAATCTTCCTTCATACGCGTCTAGATCTCGCTTACAGCCCCTCTCTCCCCCGCAAATTTTTTTGGTGGGAAACGATTTCGCGAACCTGGCGAGAGAGAAAGCTGGAACTTTGTAGGGATCTTCTCTGTGCGTATGAGAGTTAAAGATTTCAAATTCAGCCATCGCGCATGCTTATACCGCACGCACGGCCAAGTCAAAGTTCGCAGTTGACACGACTCGAAAACTAGCCGGAAAATAGTAGCTGAAATTTTGCCAGAGTATTCGTCACTCACATGGAAAAACACATATCTAAACTGAATCCCGATTTGCACTTGCACCACGACTTAGGGCAGTTCAAAGATATTTGTAGCGAAGTAGCTATTTCACTTACCAGACAAGCTGCGAAGCCGGAACTTTGCAAGAATATCTTATATTCAGTCTTAATTCTTAATTCAGCGTGCAGTCTTAATTCAGCTTGGAAGTGAAACTCCATGGATGCAGACAGGGCAGATACTCAATTTTATCACAAAGTCAAAAACGAGTGCATTTTGTAGACTTCATAATCCTCTTCCGAATTCCTTCAAATTTGCATTTTCCAAAGAACCTGATGCTTTGCAACTTGGGTTTTTTATTGTTCTATACCTTCCAGATGCTGCTCCATATTACACTTATATTTACATTAGTTTTTATACTATTCTTAATTATCATTCCATCAACGCAGCAACTGTCGTATTGATGGGGTCCAGCTGTGGTGCTGAAAAAATGCATATAACTTAAAGGACTGAAACATTTCTCTTCATTTGATTACTTTTATTATACATATATTTTTAATGTTTTACATACATTACCGTCAATATCTTTATTTCGAGTATTTTTTAAAATACTTAAACCACAACTGAACTGACAAGATTCAGCCGATTAGTGCTGATATAATGAACGAAACGTCTTAGCTTGTTTTATTTCACATTTTCTAAATGTTTTTATGCCATTTCTAGATGAAACGGCTTCTGAACAAATAAATCCGCCTTTCGTTTCATAATCATACGATCATCCTAATATTCATCTCAATTCCTCCTTACATGTAGTTTATGCTTCAAGTTAGAAATCGAAAATATCCGAGGTGTCACTCGAATTTTTTGGCTTAGTTATTTCCATGCCTCGCATTATTTTAAGCCGCCTGAATTTGCTCTTCTACGAAGAGAAGTTTCTGCAGAAATCTGTGATGGAACAAGATGTGGGAAGCGTAATGCATACTTAGAAGTCTGTTGCTCGTCTTGCTGCACCTTGTGTAAATCGCACGCCGGATCTTGTTTCCAGGCTTCCACATCACCGCAATCGCAGTAGCCACTGCCACCAGATGTTGTCATCTTAAGACAATATAGCTTCGAAATTACCTTTTTAATGGGTTCAAAATAACAGCAAAATCATTTGCATATATTCATTACCACGATTATTCGCAATCCCGCATCGTGCAAGCTCAACTCTGTGATGTTCGTGAGGGATGCGCCGTCGAA